AACACACCACTGCAGTTTGCAAGCAGTGCTAACAGTTAAAGCAAATCAATGTCAAAATGTCAGAGTATGGCTGGCTCAGGAGTGTAGCACATAACAGTGTACACTCTGTCTTTAATCCGCGCTATTTAATAAACGAACATCAATTATACTGTAATATATTCACGGCTTTTATGTGGCAAGCAAATTATCAATATCCATAGCAGTCCATTAGGAGAATCTCTGCAGCACACAATGTGTGTTTTAGTTCAGAATTACTAGGCTTAAATTAATGTAAATGTTTGGAAACCGATATGAATGAACTTGGTAAAAGCGGATCCGTACACAAATCGGTTATGTGACGATCCGACTGCTGTACACCTCTGACAACTAATGCATGGAGCACATTATTTATTTAGAAGCTGATAGTAGCTCAGCTAGGCAAGACGTTACCGAATTTTATGAGATCAGAGGGCTCATTACCGTATTCCTCGCAGCCTGACAGTGGACCCTATTTCGAGGAAGCTGAAACCTATCAATATTTTGACATCAGATTTCGAATGTAGGATTTTTGGTTTAACGGAGGTGAGTCTGTCGATGGCTGTCTTCTTGGACAGCAAGGACCTCTGAAACGTACGTAAACTTTTACCAGACTACAGGGCGCAACAACCCAGAGGAAAGCAATCATCATATTTCAAAGTTCATTTCAATACCATTTTCATATCTAAGCGCTGACTTTACAAGTCGCTTCATCCTTTAAACTTTTCCGACTAAAACGTAAGCGCTTCTTAACATCACGCCTCTTTGAACTCAATTAATTATTAAGATTAATATAGTTGTGGCGCCAATTAACAGGAATCTTGAATATGAAGCCCGTGTATCCTCTTATTTTTCTCGTTTTACACTGCGTTTTATCAGTAACTTTATGTCTAATGTATTAGCTTCGTAAAATCTATTTAATTAAGTAATTTAACTGTAACACAAATTCTAAATATGTTTCAATCTTCGTCTTCCGAATTCCGATGTGTGTTGTGCGGTTCTGTGGGTAGCTGCCGATGTTTCAGAGGAATGTGTCGCCACTTCCACTCTGAAAACAGAGGTCATGCATCCCACACGGTGTCACAACCCAAAACGCCAAGATCGAAATTCACAGCTAAGATAACCGGCGTTCATCTAATACTACAAATCTCGCCAACTCTTCACGCTTGTAACCTGTGCAATGGATTTCTTCTCTCTGTGATCGCACGCGAACACACACTGCTTTCGTCGTGGGTTATCGGCATTCTGACAGTGGCCTCGACCCCACGAGCAGCTTGTGCATAGTAAACAACTCTGCATCAGCCATCTCGAACGCTGAGCAACGGTTATCGGGTTTCGCCCCAACCTGATCAATCACTCGAGATATTGAATTATATCGTCTGTTTCCAAGATCATGTCTCCACTGTTGGAAGGTCACGTGATACCTCAGCATCCTTTCAATCACACACAAGACAGTGCTTTCAGTTGTAAAGGCAAGGGACTTCCCGTTTCTGCCACAAGACTACTGTAATATGGATAGCAGACAAATCTGTCTGCAATCTTAACTGTTCAGCTTCACGCTCAGACCGGTTTAACCTGGGGAAAATATCCTGTTCTGATTTAATAAGAATGGGTGCAGTACCGGCTTTATGAAGAGACATAAGCTACGATGCAAAAGTATCATTTTAAAACCCATAATAGATCTTTAAGAACTTACAAAACTTAAAAATACCACTTATAGTTATTCCCAATTCAATTATTAGGTTTTCAATGGATCTTCATTGGTGACCACAGCAAATTTTGAAAATTGTCCCTCCCGTGAAACCTCACTATAAAATATGTTTCTTCAATCACTATGGGACCTCTGAGGATTAACACAACTCAGGGCCACAGAAAATCAAAATCTGACCTTGGTTAGGTGAGCGTCAGAGATGTTCTGGACGTGAAGGTAGGAGAAAAAACTTATTTCGGAATCGAATGCCGCTCGTCCAGCAAGCAGATGTCTAACTCAGCTGCTATGATTTTGGATGCGAATAATAGGATTTGATTAATTTTAAAACAAGAGTTCAAGAAATTATCAGGAAAATTAATTTTGTTGCTACATTTTTAAAATAAAAATTAATCAATGATTATCTCACTTGAGGAACAGCGTTGTGTTTTATATATAAAGGATTTATGCAGTAGCTTCGAATGACAGCATCAGTTATCAATATATGACTAGTTAACATCTGTCTGGTTGAAATAATTTCATTCATCAGCCATCGTCAATGCACTGTAAAGAGATTTTTTGTTTGTTTATTCAATTCGATGTTTCACCTGAATAGGTTATGGAGCTCCAAATAGTAAGATGATAATATTATGCATTGTGGCACCGTGTAAACTCATGGGCATGTAGCAACGTTTCGCTGCTTCCATCTTCAGGTCAGCCTACCTGTTGGGCCTCCTAGTTGATCTAGCCCCAGACCTGGATTTGGTATCGCTCAACTAAAAGACCCAACACATAGATTGTCTGTAAGATGGAAGCAGAATCCAGCTTCTGGTGTGTTGTAGTTTTATTATTTTATAACACAGACGATAAACAAAATTCGAAAAAAGAACAATTTCATGTAAGTAGTCGTATATCGGTATCCGAACAGTTCCCTTTTGCACCAGCGTCACATACTGTTCTTATGGAACAATGATGTAACAGGAGAGGAGAAGAAACAGTTCGGATGAGTTTGGAGTCAGAATTGTTTGGAAGTGACTTTGAGAAGTGCACGCGGAGAGAGGAGAGCGCGTCGTCACCAAGCAGTGCTGGATGCTGAGGACCTTCCCTTGGTGACTGACTATGACTTTCACTGCCATCTGCACCGAGCCCATCCACGTCACTTTCCTCCTACGAGAAGTTCTTACAGAGAATGAGGAAGGGGATTTGCTTCGGGAAAGTTTAAATTAAACCAGAGTTTAAATGGGGAAATGATGGCGTGTTTTTCTTTCTTTGCTGCTTGGCAGTTATAAGCTGAATGGGCTGAGGTAAAAGAGAAAAGATTTGGGGCGTTGTATAACAAATTTCCATTAGCAAAAGCTAACCATAAAATGTAGATATAATGCCGCTTCTGAAGTTTAGAGTGTAAGATTATTATTTGTTTTTTTATCTCGTTATTTCCTCAGTACAAAATACACTACTCAACCGGTTCAATGCTCACGACTCAAGTATGCATGACGTCTGCATAATCATTATTCCTTAAGATTTTCGGGTTTATTTTCCAATCCCCTATCCAGTATTAAGAAACTGCATATTGCTATTGTTCCCTATTTAAATACGTAGAAGAAAGTGTCATTTTAATAAATATATTATGGCGATGATGACGATGATAATGATAATGATGATAATAATACGAGGCGCGTCCACAAAGTAAGTTTCCCACTCGTCCCACAGTTAGCAAACCTTATATTGCGCGAAGCGACTGTGCGTACGTGATAGAGCAATGACGTAGCATGGCGCATGCACTAACGGCACTTCCCGCGTTCTCACAGTAGCATCGTTGCAGCTGTTGAAGATGGAGGTTCTTATTCCAGCTCCCGCCGACTGTGAAGTGCGGTCAGTGATAACGCTAGGCCGCACACGGCTCGACGGACAGCAAGTCTCCTGCAGGAGTTCAGCTGGGAGGTGTTTAATCATCCACCCTACAGCCCGGACCTCGCTCCCAGTGATTTCCATCTTTTCCTACACCTCAAGAAATTCCTGTCCGGTCAGCGTCAGCGTCAGCGTTTTGAGAATGACAGAGAGGCGGAGATGGCTGTCACACAGTGGTTCCAATCCCAGGCGGCAGACTTCTACGACACAGGTATTCAAAAGTTGGTCCCACGGTATGACCAATGTCTCAATTCCGGTGGCGAATATGTTGAAAAATAGCTGGACACTTGCTGTATCTGTTGCAATAAATATTTCCATGAAATTGTGTTTTGTTTCTGTAAACGGCCCCAGGGAAACTTACTTTGTGGACGAGCCTCGTAGTAACATCGTCATCATCTCGTTACAACAGCCTATGATTTCCATTCATCCTCGTAAATTTTGGTTTATCTTCAGATCGGAGTTAGTCACGGCGGTGAAGAATTGATATTGGTCTTGGGTTATAATGTCGTCTGGACTTGGAGGTGGACACTAATGTTTCGGGGAAACATACTGCCTCCATCTTCAAGAATAAAACGAAGGATGCACATTCCTCCAAAAAACTGGTATCTACCTACAAGTTCACATCTCTCAACAGACAAGAAGTTCACGTCTCTGATTTGCCTTGTTTGCAAGTAAACTAATTTTCACACATCCTGTTCCACTCGCTTGTGTCTTCCTGAAACATCCTACATTTCGTATTTCATTACTTGAAGCTAACTCTCATCTAGCAACACACCGCCTTCTGGTAAATGAGTCGAATAAGATCTGCTTTCAAATAGTCTACTATCAGTTCCTTCGAAATCCTTACCGTGTCACCATTTACGAGCATCTTCCTGTTTCAGTCAATGGTCTATTTGTACGTATTTGTATGTAGCTGAAACGGGATTACTAAATAATCAAAGAATAATCACCATAATCTCTACCTGATTTTATTCCGCGCCAAACGATAACGAAGACAATATTTCAGAATTCATCTGAGGACAACAGCGAATCAAGTCCCTGAGATAAGATAATCCGCTTGGGCACGTTAGTTGCTTTACCAGTGAGCTAAAGTGATACACAGCAATGAAGGCGGTTGGCGACGTTGCCCTGGGAAGCAATTCTTTGCACACTTCAAATGCTTATACCTCACGAATCAGTGATCTTGCAACATCGTGGACTGGTATGCCAACCTATAATTCTCGATTGAATTAAATGAATAATTTATACACCAACTACATGCGCGAGAGTACAGCAAGAGACTGGTGCTGATTGGATGAAGAGGGCACGTGATAATAGACACGCAGAAGCGTCCAAAACTCTGTAGCCATTTTTTGTGTCGTTCAGTATAATTTACAGTTTGTGTACTCACATTGCACGTGCAACTTCAGTGACTGGTTGAGGGGGTGAGTGAGTGCCTGGTGCCTTGCCAGGCAAGTCACCGTGGAGTTATGGTGCGCCCTGAGCACGGTGGCCAGATGCGCCTCGCTGCTGTGTGCATGACTGCCGCCACTGGTGTTGAGACCCGGCGTGTGGTGAGGAATGAGAAGCCACGCGAGATTCGCGGGGGGATGACCGCCCTCTACAACGCAGCTCACCGCTAGCTCGGCGCCTTCCTTAACAGGCAGAAAAAGGTTTCCAGGGTCCAGTCGTCGCCCGTCCACTGCGAGGTACAGCGACCTTGGCGGTTCTACAACAAAAGACATGAAGTCGCATTTATTACAACTGGTGTCAGGATACCGCGGAGCTGATGGGAAATATCGTGTCGAGGCTCATTCTGAAAAGAGAAGGAAATGCCACGAGGAAAGAATATATACATTCAAAATGAAAGGAGAATGAAGAGAAAGAAAGGAAACAAGGAACAAATAAATAATTCCACCTAAGCATACGAATTCTCTACTTCGAAGTGTCACTACAGCTGAATCATACGTGTGGCTCACGGAGTACATTCGCATTGTGTCGTTGCGTGTTTGTTATTAGAATAAGGGCGTGAATGGAAGGATATCGTTTTGCTTTCCAAGCTTCTGGTTATGTAAGAATAAGTTTTTAAAACTTCTCTCTACAGGAATGGGCGCCTATGATTCTTTGTTTAGTTACATAAATGTAAGGTGTAAAAAATATTCTCGGAGATACAGTGGATTTGAGATAAAAAGAACAAAATTAGTTTTTGAGAAAGCGGAAGGCAATGCCGGCCATTATACGACATAACCGCCATCTTTCAGACATATCCGGCCGGTTCACCTGTACATCTGGGCGGTTGTTACGCAAAAATTGTTGGCATTATCAGCCTCCGTCATTCGAACGTGATGTAAGTTATTGAGCCCCAGTAAATGTAATAATTTGTGCATGATTGAAGAACTTTAACATACAGTACTTTTAAAAACAGATATTAGCAAAACATACAGAATCGGCTGAAGAATGATTGTACTTCATTTCAACAAGCTGCATTCCTTCCCCGTTTGAAGGCATTGTCCCGGCATGCCACAATGTCACAGCTGCTCTCAGCTTTATCCTTTACGTTTATAATTCACCTTTTCATTTTATAATCACATTCGAGGAAAATAATCTCTCAACTATCAACATAATAAGCAATGTTGGTTCACTGTCTGGGTAGTTTGTGACCTTTTGCTGTTGGCAAGTGATTTTTGGCATTACGTGGTACTATTTATAAATATGTGTGTTATTACTGTCCCCATGTTACGATGATCACTCCCTGTTAAGAGATCTCGGGCTTTATGGGATAATATAACCACTGCCATTGTAATGCTGTTAAGGGGGACTTACATGTACGTGTATTACACAGTTACTATAACCTGAATACAAGATTAAATTTGAGGTTGCGGTACATGAAATCCTATTGTATTTTTAATGAAGAAAATATAAGAAATTATATTAATTCATATGTTAATCTTTATACTGATTTGTTATAATTTTAACAATTTTTTACACTTTCCCGCCATTCTAGAAAAACAATTTTCTAATAACCATCCTGAATACGACCCACTTGAGTTGAGAATATATTTCTTAAATTAACAGCCATTTATATTTTGATCCCGGATACTTGTATATTCAAAGACTTAAAGTCTTACAAATGGTCGAATTGAGGATACATATTAGGAAAATCAGCTACGTCTCATTTCGAAATTCCTAAAATAATAAACGTAGTACAAAGAGAATATTCTGTTTGTCGTATGTATTATTGACTTTCTTCTCATACGTCTTCCAGGAAAGATATATTATGCAACAGCAGACCACCATAATTTATCTCTGAAAGACAGGTGACAGATACTTGTCCTTTGCTTGTAATTCGCTATTTAAATGTACTACTTCAAGCAATTTCTTATTAGAAAGGATAGCTCCAGAATTTTTTACGTGTTATGACTTTCTGCAAAAGGAACTATAAAGGAGGAAATTTGTCTTCTGTAACTGTTGTAAAGAATTAATGTTAGAGCTTCATCACGCGACAAGATATACAGACTATAAAATATTCAGCAGTTGAAGGCAATACGCAACACAGCCCTAGGGCAGGAGTGATACAGCAGCAGAGCGGCGCTAAAACACTTTAGGAGCTGTTGCAGTATAAATTTCAAGAGGCAAACAACGGGGTACATCAAGACATTTTACACCTACCAGTGTTTTCTTTCTGTCGCAGCCGTTTAAAGAGGTACGATAAGGCAGAAACTGAGATTACAAAACAAATGCTACGCTGTCCTCCCGAGGCATCTATGTCCGTCTGCTACGAAATCGAAATCTTAACGTTTTCAGCGTGTTTAAGCGTCGACGTAAAACTAGAAAATTGTCAGTGAAAAATGTCAGGAAAATCTAAGGCAGCATTTAGAATACATTTTACTGAAAAGTGTAACAATGCATTATATAAACATTAAGATAATTTCTTACATTTGCTTAATTCTGAAAGATGCGAAGCATTAACACGTAAACATCCGATCATCGCCTTGATGATATAGGCAGCAAGGGCTCCTGAAACGTCGGTAAACTTTTACCAGACTACACGGCGCAACAACCCAGAAGACAGCCATCTTTAAAGCAACATTCTTTTGGGATAAAGCCTGCTGCCTTCATAGAATTGCTTAAAAATATCTAAAAAAAGTACCTAATTTGACATCCAGACGTGGATCCATATTGATTGCGAGTCGTTTGAAGGAAACCACGGGGCCATGAAATTGTTAGTGATTGCTATGTTTCTAGTGCTTTTCCCTACCACTAGGGTGGAATATCAGAAAACTTGCGCGTGAAAACAAAACGAGTAGCAGGAGGGAGAAGTGGAAGAAAATTGGAGAGTGTGCTCGTACGTTTGTTATCTCAAATTATTTTGAAACGAAACATTCCCCACTAACGTAAACAGAGTCGCTTCTGATTCAATACTGCAGTCACCAACCTGGAAAATTCATATATTGAGAGAGAAGAAAGAAACAAGTACAAGACACTTGGGTAAAGACGTTGGTATACAATGTCACTGATAATAAAGTAATTTCACATTTTCTCTCATTTCTAAGAACCACTGACGAAGGAAACTTTAATTTTGGATTCAATAAAATATATCACAAGAAAACAGTATACAGCAGAATCAGTTGAATTAAGAAACTAATAAACTCATATAGAGTAAATGATTTCTTTATCAAAGTATTTTGTGATTCACGTGGAATGTTTTTAATCTTCATGTTCTCTCGGACATCATACATGATTCCTTAAACCACATTCATGATAAACACAGGATTTAAGTTACCGTGGCCAATATTCTTTCTCTCCAGGTCTTTCGGCTCTCCTTTTATATGGGGGATGGACAATGGACCCGTCTACTAGACTGCATGGCGCAACAACCCAGATGACAGCAATCTTTTGGCAGTAACCGGTCGCGTATCGCAATGTTCCTCAAACATTTTTTATTTTATTTTTATCCACGGCACACCATGATTCGTCAAAGACACATGACGGCACTTCACAAAATCTCGCCTTACGAAAAGGGGGTAAGAAACTAAGCATGGCCATAAATATGAATCTACATACAAATACTTGCCCTATAAGAATGCAGGAATATGCAACCAAGACATTAAACACGTTAGGCCCCCCATACACACACAGTTTGGCCTTCCGATCGACCTTAAGACAAAACTATTGATGATAGAAGATAAAAACTGCCTTTTACTAACTGTAACGTGCGAACATGCAATTTCTGATAAAAATTCGCGGCATTTCGGTTGCGTAATTCTCGCCTATAGGCACCCAGTAAATGTTTCAATCAACCAAACACAGATTTTATTGATTTAATTGAAGATTTTCTTCATAAAATTCATTTATATGAGTAAGAAAAGGGTAGACAGCATTCTTTTAAGCGTATATTTTGAACTCGGGTTTCCCAGTTGTAGGTTACTGTTTGTTACCTAATTTTCCTCCAACAGAATTCATTGTTGTTCGATTTTGTTCTTTCGTGACTGTCGAAAGTCAGTCACAGCTCGTCCGCCAATACCAAACATGCTCCGCGTAACATACAAACATAGCAATAGAAAATAAATACTTCTTAGTAACAGAATCTTGGGTTTTATCTTTCGGCGCATCAGATTCACTAGCGCCCTACAGCCACAAGGCAACTATTATATTGTGCCTGTTGCAGATGTTTGCAACCACTCTCCATGCAACGGCACTGAGGAATCTTCGAGTGAACTGAAAAGAGCTGGTGGAATCTGCAGGGCCGGAAGCAGGGTCAACAGTCCCTTAGTAGATCACCTATTAAAACCATTTGTCATTTCTGTGTTTCGGTGCCGTGTGGTGGCAGTATCACTTTAGCCAAGATGAAGACAGCACGGTTCTCCGAAACGTCGGCCGAAGCCCAGAATATCAGTGTCATTATCCCCACCGCTGTGAAAAGCTCAAATTTCACACGGTTGTCATTTGTTCCCAATCGATTATAAACATCGATTCTGCTCCTTTTTGCTATTTGGATGTAAGGCGACTTCCTTTAAGTGGTGGAGTCTCGCTAACCCGTCCTACAAACCACTGGAGCACTTCGGCTGATCGTACTAGGGGTTTCTTGTATGCGTCATATGTTGTTGAAAGATACAATAACGAACTTGAGTGCAGTCCGTGTTATGAAAGAGAGAGAGTTGTAAAAGCAACTTATCGTCTCCGGGACTTTTACTTTGACATAACTCAATTTTTCGTCTTTCTTTTTGGAAGTGGAAAAGAGCCTCGCCAGCAGTCCTTCGTTTCATCTCTGTCTACCCTGGGTTCGTGCGATAGAACAGGACATGCAGTGAAGGATCCATCATGAGCGCTGTTTCCAGACTTGAGCTCGCTTGCGTGGTAACACTTCAGCCACATTCATTACGGGATGATATCAATCAGCCGAGAAATGACAGCCATTAATACAAAGCGTCTGACATAGAAAAATTAACTTGCATGATCATTAAGTATCTGAACAATAAGTACAACTGACGACAAACTACATCAGAACAGCCATACGAAGACAAGTCATCTAAAAACAGCTCCAGTACAGTATATTAACGTATTGACTAGTTCAGTCCATGTTATCACACTAAATTCCTTTAATATCCGTTTTGATACTATTGTCCCATCTACTTCTACATCTTCCAAGTATCTTCTCCTTTTCCGGTTTTCCGACTAAAGTCGTACATATTTCTTATAAGTTTCATGTGTACATGCCTCGTCCATTTT